CTCTGCAATGAAAAGAACCCAAATTCTATATTTGGTAAAAAAAAAAAAAAAAAAAAAAAAATCAATGATTTTTAGTAAATTTACTGAGGTGTGTGGCCACAAGAAGTTGTAGAACATTTTCATTATCCCAGAAAGATCCCTCATGCTTGTTACCACATTCATCCCCCAACCCAAGCAACCATTAATCTACATTATTATTATTATTATTATTATTATTTTACTACTGGGTAATGGGAACTCTACCACTGAGCTATATTCCCAGCCCTTTTTATTTATTCATTTTTTTGTTTTGAGACAGGATCTCACTAAGATACCTGCCGGGCTCAAACTTGTGATCCTCCTGCCTCAACTTCCCAGATATGCACCACCAAATGCAGCTATGAATCTGTATTATTTATAAGCTATACTAGGGTTCATTAGTTTGCAGCAGGTTGTATTCGTGATCCCTTGTCAATGGATAACTAGGTTGCTTTATTCTTATGAAGTACTGCAGTGGACTCCCCAAGGATATCCAGATCTTTACTGAGTTTCATAGGATGAGGCTCTAGAAGAAGAACTGATGGTCAGAAACTCAAATCTGCTTTGGAAGCTTCTACCAGACTTGAGCTGGTGGTTTGGATGAGAGCTGGAGAGGTGACTGGGGGTGAGAGATGACCAGGTGTACAGAGAGAAATGAAAATTGAAAGCCATCCAGGCAGCCTTGAGTACCAGGATGGGGAGTTGGACTGGATGTCAGAGGCAAAGGGCCAGGCACCACCATGCCTATGTTTTATGTTTGAAGTTGCCTCTGGTGGCTGGGGTGGAGATCCTAACATGGCTAGGGGATATGAGTTGAGTACTTACGGTGTATCAGGCACTGAACTGATGATCTCATGAATTTTCCCATGTCATGTTTGGGTAGACTTTTGATTTTCACCTTATAGATAAGGGCCTTGAGCAATAGAGAGAATGTGACTTGGCCAGAGACATACAGCCAAGAGTCAGATCCAGGTTGTGGATACTAGAGCCTGTGCTTTTGGCTCTTGCCCTCTTGACTATTTTGGCTTCTAAGGGTAGGGGTAAGGGCCTGGAGAAGGCTGCTCCCCAAGGGCCTGTGGGGGCCTGGGAGTGAGTTATAGAGGGGTCAGAAGTCATGTGTTATAAGACTGGAAACTGGCACCAGGGAGCCAGTCAAGGACCCTGAGCCCTACCTGTTCGCCATCTGCTTGGCTAGGCCCTCTGTCACGTGAATGGGGTTTCGGGTGGGGCTGCACTTGGAACCTTTGTCTGCCGGTAAAGGCATTGCCTGGCTGTAGTACCCCTGGGTTGGGCCCTGTGCCGGTAGTGACTTCCATTGTTTGCTTCTTCCCTCCTTGCTGTGCTCTAGGTCCCTTACAGTGGGGGAGGGCATGAGAGAGTAGCCCTGGACCCATGTTGGGTATTGTTGTTAAGCCCAGGGCAGTTGAGGATTAGTTTATCAGATCTTGCATAAGTTTATAAGTACAAAAGAGGAGCATGGAGACAGAGTTCTGGTTGGAGGTTGGGAATGCTGATCCCCTTGGGTCCTGGGACTGGAGAGCCTAACAGTGTACCTGTCAGACCCCAGGGGTCTGCTGTCCATATCTGCTGTCAGATCCTAGGCATCTGCCAGGGGAACTTTACTGTCGGCCTGTGTGTGTCTGGCTGCACTGAGGGCCAACTGGCTTTCCACATTAGTTCTGTTGGTCCCAACTATTCATGAAATTCGATTGCCATGCCTGCTTCTCCAGTGACACTGCCTGCTCTCTCAGAGCCCATTTTCAGGCACAGCTAGCGCTGTAGGGCACCCTTCATGCCACGTCCGGAGCCCATCTAAGGTAGAGCCTGGGGGGTGCCCCCATACCAGGCCTGTTCCCATCCCATGCCTGCTTCTGCCACTTGGTGTCCAGAAGCACAAAGCCTTCCTATGGCCATGAACTGCTTCTCCTCCTAGGGAAAGCGCTCGGTCCTATCTGGACTTCAGAGGCCTCCCCTGAAAAGCACAATCTGGCGGCTGTAAGATTTGCTGCCCTAGTGCCCCTAACAGGACAGAGAAGAGGTTGCTGGGTGTGGGTCCAGGGAGATAGACAGCCAAGTGGCCAGGAGTTACCTTTTGCCTGGCGGTCACTTAGCTGGACACAAACATGCTGCATGACCTGGTCAGCTCCAAGCAGAGGTCACTGTGAGGCAGAGGCCTGGGATCCAGACTTTGCCTACTGACAGCCTGCTGATTGGGAGCCACGCACCACCAGAGGAAAAGTGTCTCTGGTCTTGGCTCCTGCCAGCCTTGTGACTTACGGGAACTTTGACCCTTGGGACCGGACAGGGACTGCACAGTTGGGCGACCCACGTGCTTCATCGTAGAAGAAATTGTAGTGGCTTTTAATAAGAACTGGGCTCCTGGTGAGAGGGCAGGAGGCTTACAGCTAGCTGGCTGTGGGTGTAGAGCTGCTGGGTTGAGGGCTGAGGGAACACGGCTGAGGGTCTACCCCATGGGGAGAATTTGTGGCCTGGAGAGGCCCATGCTGATCTTCCTGCCTAACTGACCTCTGCTCTCTCCCAGTAAGCCTTGCACCTGTAAGTGTCCTTGCTGGGGATCTGAGGATCCATGTGCACCTCCATAGCTCTAAGGCTGAGCCCCACAAGTCTCTGTTCAGCCCTGTGTGTGACCTCGGACAAGTATCTTGACCTTGCTGACATCTAGGTTCTTATTAATACAATGAGAAGTACTAAGTTCTTGAAGTATTAGTACCTATTGGATGAGCTGATTTAGGTGAAAGGCATGCACAGCACATGGCGCATAAGTAGTAGACCCTCAACAGTGCCGGTGAATACTGTTATTACCACCATGAGAGCATTTACCTGAGACTGCTATGTTCACCTCAACGAATGTTCATGATGATTGTCCAGGAGGCTGCACTGGAAGATCTCAGGGCGTTCCTGGCAACAGTTCTGAGTGCTGAGCACCCCTCATGTGGTGGCCCTAATGCTGGCAAGGAGCCCTGCACCCCCACGAGGGAACAAGCACCTGTCTTTGGAATCCCTGGAGATGGAAGGAACCATAGACTCAGGGTGTCTGTCCTCACCCTTGTGCAGCTGAGGACCCCCCAGCCCTGCTGCTCAGCCTGCTCTGGCTGGGTGAAGGAAGAGGCAGTGGAGTGGAGGCCAGGGTGAGGCAGCAGGAAGGCAGGTGCTGTGCCTGGGGCTGCTCCCCAGGCAAGCAGAGGAACCCAAGGAGGCAGAGAGAGTAGGTTCCAGCTGGGGAAGAGGGCACTTTGCT